GCAATTTCCAGCGTGTCATGGTCATGGATGCTTCGAGGGGGCAGTTAGTCGTAGGGCCCACTGGACAGTGGGTTTCAACGACCTCTAACAACCAGTGAGAGTGTGGCTGCTGCTTTAATGCCACTGGAAGTGAAGTCCACTTTGCTGAGAGTGTGAAGCACTCCACTTCACTCCTACTATACTTGCTACTGATCAGCTCAGCTCCTTGCTTTCTTGATTAGTTGGTGATGACTCCTCTGCTCTACTTAACTTGAGGTTGAGCAGACACACACCTGACTCTAAGTACAACACACACTACCACTCACTTTTTTTTTTGCAGTCCCATCCATCGCAGATCGTCGTTCATACTCATAATGCGAGATCAGAACTCTCCTGTAAAAGCTAATTAATTAAATGAAATTATGTCAAGTTCTATAAATATGTGACTATGTCATTGGTAGGTCAGTGCTGCATATCTTGTGAATAATATTGACGACGAGCCAACTTTGCAAGACCTGACATAAATAACTAAAACAACCAAGAAGCATCTTCTTATTTTGCAATATGATGAATATACCAAATAGAAAGAAACCCAATGTTCATAGTTGCTGACACTTGGCAAGCTAGAGACTAAAGACTAGTTCTAATGTAATGAAGGAGCAATGATCGTTGCTCAACTCCGCCTGCAGAGTGTAGTGCCAGTAGGGTAGGTAAAGTTTATGTGCATTAAGAAATTAAGAAGCCCCAAGCTCCATGTGCCATTCTCTCGAGCACCTCACACTTAATCCCCAAGAGATGCGTTTGATTGGTGATGAACATGAACCAAGACTTTACTTAATTTGGGGCTTAACTAAGCATGTTCAGGTCTGACTTAACACCCCCACTTCGACGCTTCTTCTGTTCAATTTTGGAGATTAGTTTCATTGCTATGTTCTTAGATTAGTGAGCTTGAAGGGTTATTTATAATTTTATATGCATCTATGTGAGCTATAATTGGAGTGTGCACAACTGTTCAAACTAGTGGGTGCCAATCAATGGGCATCTCCATCTAAAAAAGGGTCATGTCACGCACTATCTACTTAGCCTTCGGTACAAAATCTCATCGGTGTTTAATCTGGGTCCGTAAATGTTCAAACATTCGAATTATAGTCTTGAATATTTGCTTAGTTATTCATGTTACCGTTCTTCTTCTTTTGTTTCACTTCAGATTGTAACAAGGTTGGATGAATTGTGGCCCTTTCTCGCGCACCCTGTGGCACGAGGTGCTTTCGTGGATCGGGTCGACATCCCAGCTCTCCATCAACGAGGACTTCCGATCCGCCCCAAATACTGCAAGGAAGGGCACGTCTTCGCCCACGACACGGTCAGGGCGGATGCCCCACCCTGGACGTGCATGGGCGAAGGTGGTGGCAGTGGGCCTTGCGGCATCACTTCGTGTGCGGTGTGGCGCTAATTTGGTTTTTTTCGTGGCACTTTCTGGTTTGTAAAACTTTTCCTTCTATCGATGCATCGAGAGACATATGTTTTCTTTGCGTTTTCTCAGCGAAGGAATGATGGATGGGTTGCTAGATTAATCTCACGATGTGCCTAGCTGCTGGCATTAAAGTATCTCATGGGGACTAGCTAGTTGGTTTATGAAAAGGAAGGGCTACTTGAAAACCTAGAAGCTCACTCACATACCAAAGTGATGTGTGCTCACATGTTTCATCAGTGTCAGTGCAGCTGTAGTAGCATGGCATGTAGGCTACTGACTACTTAGCGGTGCGGTGTGGTGTGGTTGGGAAGGTGAAGTGATGTTGACCAAACCCATGCATTATTATTAGGCGTTTATTTTCTATGTGCTATTAAGCTAATTTGTCAATCAATCAATCAATCACTCAACCGGGTACTTGCAGTTGATCCTGGTAAGAAAAAAGGTCGCCAGTTGCAAATTAAGTTTCCATCTTAGCCAAGTCAGTACTTGCACATAGTGGACACTGACACACGTGAGAAACAAGTGTATGAATTCAGGATTATTATTGTTCACGCCGAAAGGTAATTAAGCGTTTGGACAATAGCAATGACATTTTGTTATCTCTTGATCTGAATGCAGTTAGTGATGAGCGGTTCTCATGCGGCCGCACTCAAAAAAAGGAAAATTTTGGTTCTGGACATGGCTATATCTTCTATGAAACTTAGCAAAATTTACATTTTTCAGTTACAAAAGAGAAACATAGATACGGATAACTGATAGAAGCTTCGCCTTGCGAGCTTCTGTTAAAAAAACATAACCTTTTTTTACCCGTTGGAAGATCACAAATTGAATCTTTGTGTAATAAGATCTGTAACTTGTACCTTGACATTCTGTGCGGTAAATCATTTTTTACCTGCCTTATTTTTGGAAAAGGGGAGTAACCCGGCCTCTGCATCGCAAGATGCACTCAACCATTTTATTAAACATGAAACAAGTTCAAGTCACCGAGTGCCAATAGTTTGCGAATATCTATTATTCTAGAAAACTTTATATGCCAAGAACACAATGCAGTCACAATATTTGAGAACTTGGAGATGCATTAGTTGAGTTCAGAAAGTCATCAGGGACCCTAGGGCTTCGGTTCAGTTGGGGGTACAATTAGGAATGAATTTAGGGTTTGCCTCCGAATGGTGGTGGCGGATGTGCTCTTGGTCCTCCAGCTCTAGTTTCGACCGACAAAGGTTGGCCAGTCTCGTCCTCATTGAAGAATGTGTGAGATTTGTGTTCTTAACTCCGTAAGGCCGGAGCTCGGGTGTTCTATAGGTCCTTTGTAGTGTTTTCTTCTCTGGAACGGCGGTCTACGCAGATCGCGGCAGCAAGCGTCTTCCGGTCCACATTGACGACTTCCCAGCCGCTTCGTATACAAGCTTCCGTGTTTCGACAAGTTTGCTCAGTTGAGAGGGAGGCCCGGATGTGACAACTAATTTTGCTCACGGTGCGCCCCCGATGTACGAAGGATGAGGAAGGCTTTGTACCGTAAGGATTTGGATATATTTTTCCCGGATTGCGCAAGAGAATTGCGCGTCATATCATTAAGAAGGAGAAGAAGATGTGCGAAAATTACAATACCTCCGCAACAGAGGCAAGCCAACCCCACTCCACCAGTGTTCTACAGAGCTATCTACTCGCGACGACCCACTATTCCACGGTCCTTCTGTTGCCACACCAGTAGCCACAACCTCCACTCACTCACAGTGCCTGCTACAATCGCCGAAATCGCGGCCGAGACGTTATCGAAGACCCTAGCTACTATTACGCTCCTTCCAGATCCTATGCATGACGAGCATGAACAAAGAGTCCACCGCCTTCCTCGCCGATGCCGGTTCCGCCGCACCGGGCTTGGTCCACCAGGCTACCAGTAAATCATGCTGGGAAGGATTTGGATATATTTTCCAATTCCCGTAAGGATGTTATTGTAAGAGTTTGTGCAACTTAATACACGGTTTTTGGCCTTTCTGCGAGAAAAGAAAAAAAAAGATACATGTATGTACATTAGTACCCATTTTCCAAAAATCTGGTAGGAAAAAAAGAATAATGCCATCCATCTGGGACAGATAGGTAAGTTAATACTGATCTAGCAGAGAGATTTATATATATAATGCTGATAGGCCGGCCGGAGGAGAAGCGGCGGAGAGGGAGAGGGAGTGGAGTGGAGTGGAGCGGCAGTACGTTACAGGTGTGCTGGCTGCTGGTGTGGGGCCGGCCTGTCAGCCTCAGTCAAGCTGCCTGCCTGCCAGGTACTAGTTACCATTTATTTTATTTTTACATGTTACCATGTTGCCCCCTCAACATCAACTAGCCCGTGACCCCACCGCGCGCACTCCCCTCCTAACCTGCTACTACTACTAATCACACTCCTAATCTCCCAACTAATCACAGTGTTAAGTGGTAGCTGTCCAACAATCTTCCTTCACCAGCACACATCCGTCCATCATTCCTTCCTTCCTTCCTTCCTTCCTAGTACCCACTACTATTCCACGGTTAACACTTAACACACACCAAATTCAGCCTGGCATCAAGCCCATGACCCCAGAGAGCAACACGCCGCGACTCCGTATTAGCCGCGACAACCAATCGGAGGTTGATCTTGTGTGCATCGATCGATGCAAAGGCGGCAGACCAAATAGAGTTGCGGTCCGGCATCATCGAGATTCTTTCGAATGGTGCTATATTCGGGGTTTTAATTTGCGGGATCGGAATCGGAGGATTGTTCCGAGTGAGATGTGGGAGCATATTTGAAGGTGATGGGGTGGAAGAAAGGAAGCAGGGGAGGGGAGGGGAGTGAGTCCTTCCTTTCTTGGTGGTAGAGCAACAGCCAGCCAGACCACCAATACCCAAGCTAACCACACATACATACAAATATATTCTCTGATTATTTCCGTGCTGCTGATGCCGATGCTGATGCTAATGATGCAGAGGGGGACAGAGACATAGAGAGAAGAATATGAAGAGGAAGAAGAAGATCACTGCCCCCTTTACGTGAGCACAATGCCTACTGGAGAGGAGAGGAAGAAGAAGTACCCCACACCTTTTCCAGCTCCGTCTCTCCCCTGTTTGTTTGTTTGCTTGCTTGCTTGCCACTTTACACTCGTTTGCATTGCACTACACACTCACCCTCTGCTTGCTCATCACCAACACCACTCTTCACATACCTACCTCATCATCATCGTCCCGCTCTCACACAAAATTGCAATTTCAAAATCAAATATTGCAAACTAATTACTTGCTCACAACATAACAATCTCGGTGAGTGAATCAATCAATCAATCAATGTAATGAATGTATTAATCACATACTAACAATGTCAAATTCCAGACAAACAATTTGTTTGTACCCCCCAACCCAACAAATTTTACAGTTTCCAATCATCATCAATGATCAATCAATTTGAACACAACAAATTGTAAAAGAAGAATAAAGAATATGTATGTAAATGTGTATATGTCTTGTGTGGAACAAATGAGAAACAGAGGAGCTAATTACTGTCTGTCTGTGCGTTGATCGCCGCCTAGAAATGGCAGTCCACCAGGGCCGACGCCGGCGCCCGGAACGGCAGCAGCGCCGCCGGCACAGACGGCCGCTCCTTCACGGCGAACGTGAAGGAGCCCGGCGATGTCGCGGTCGCGGCGTCGTCGCAGGGCGCCGGCATGTTGAGATCCAGCTCCAGGAGGCTCTTCTCCTTCCTGATCACCAGCACCGCCGCCACGTCGTCCGTGGAAGAGACGGACGCCGACGCCGGCAGGAGCGGGCGGTGCCGCCGCATGTGCCCGCCCAGCGCCTGCCCGGACCCGAACTCCGCGCCGCAGATGGAGCACTCGTGCACCCTCCCCTGCCCCTGCTGCTTGGACGACACGCCGGTCGCCGTAGCTTCTTGCTTGGGCGGCGTCGCCGGGACCGGGATCGCCAGCACCGTCCGATCAACGGCAGCGGCCGGCGACGGCGGTGGCGTCTTCTCCTCGGCGGCCTGCGGCGGCAGCTTCATCTTCTCCTCGGACGACGCCGTCGTGGCCGTGGTGGGCGGGAGCGGAAGCGGGAGGCGCGGCTTCTTGTGGCTGGTGCGGTGCCCGCCGAGCGCCTGGAAGGACGGGAAGCACTTGCCGCACGTCCGGCACTCGTACACGAACTCCCCCTCGCCGCCGTCCGCCGGGCGCCGGCTCCGGAACTTGCCCTCCCTCGCCGTGGCCACCGCGACGTCGTCCCTCACCACCACCGACGAGGAGGAGGACGACGGCCCGGCCCGGCTTCCCTGGCCGCCACCGCCGCGCGCGAGGAGCATGAGGCAGAGCGCCATGTCCTCCTCCTCCTCGGTGACGCACCCGGAGGCCGCCTCGTCCGCGCCAGACCGCCACCCGCCACCGTCCGCCACCGAGGAGGAGGACGACGCCACCTCTCCCGCGGCGCTGGCCGTGGTGACCGCGGTCACCTCGGCCTCGGCGGCCGCGTGCACGCGGCGCCGCTTGCTGCGCTTGCCCTTGACGACGATGGCCGCAAGCGCGGCCGGTGGCGTGCCGTAGCCATCGCCGGCGTCCTCCCCCATGGATCGATGGGCGTGGGAGCGACGTGAGAAACAAGGAGAGGGGAGGGAGGGAGGAGAATACAAGGTGGTGGAAGGAGGAAGGTTGGTGATGGATGCTTAATAGTTTGCTTGCATATGGAGAGGAGAGGAGAGGAAGGGATGGAGTGGTGGTGGTGTGTGTGGAGTGGTGGTAATAATAAAGTGAGGATTTGGCTTTGAGGAGGAGGGGATGTCAACAAGGCCAGGCAATGTGGCAGCTAAGAAGGATTGATGGAGAAAGAAAGAAAAGCTTGCTCATTCATGCCTGCCAATGTGGCAATAAACTACTAGTGCTCATTGCTCATTGCTCAATGGCTGGCTGGCTAGGCCTGTTATTTTGGGACTTGTGCAAAACTAAGAGTGTGGTGTGTCAAGGGCTCTCCTTCTTTGGCTTGCAACAGATTAAGAGGGAAAAAGTAAATGCGACAGGAATGCGGGTGCAAAACAGAGGATGGAAAACAGGGATATATAGTCCAGCGGACTTGTGTGGATGAGTCGCATACGGTACACACAAGTGTGCGTTGATCTTACGCGTTGGAGTAAACCATGTCTTGCATAAAGCTAATATGCCAGCGAAAAAAAATATGCCCGTTAAATATTTACCAGATATTTCTATGCATTTAGCGAGGCAATGTCATCATCCGTGTGTTCCTGCCTGTTATCCCATTGAAAAACCACTGCTTTCCGCGTTTAATCGGTGAAAGAGATGGCGTGGATGTTTTGGTTCCTATTTACTTTTGGTTACAGGAAAATAATACAAAAGGGAACTTTCTTACACATTCCGTAAATCGCGCGCCTTTTCTAAAAATTTATTCACCCCACAAAGGGCATAATCATTAGAACCTGGAATTTTACCTCATATCTTCAATATGTCTACATGGGAGTGTTCCTCTAGTGATTACACTTGGGTGTTTGTAGAAAAAATGCCACGCATGAAGAAAATTATGATGGTTATGTTTGTGATCAACAGGTGTAACTTCACTTGTTTAAGTAGCATGTGGTTGTATACCTAGTTAGACATAATATAATTTTGTATGTTATCTTGGATTCTGCTCTAGTCCCTTCATGTGGGACAGATCTTTCAACAAGATCTACATGGTAGTGGCCAAGATGTTAGAACCATCAAAGGTGAGTGGTTAACCATGAAACCCACCATGAGTCCATAATATAACAATTATCTAATCATCATTACACTCTACATCACCCCTAGAAATTTGATCGAAGATCGCCCGATCCAAGTGCACATTAGAATCTCACAAGTAAGGAAAATAATGTGATTCTTGCTATGTTGGAAAACAGAGATGACATGCTAACTCAAATAGCTCAAGGAAAATCTACTATTGAATCCAAGTCGACGTTTGCCTTTCTTTCACCAATCAAACTAGGAGGTTAATTTTCATAAGCTTGCTTGGAATGTAAGATGATCACTATAATTTTGGAAGAACTTGAAACTTCTACCACATGTCCCAATATAGTTAATTATAGAATGATTTCCACCTTTTACCCCACAGTAGCTGGAATTTGTACATGTGTGACACCCCATTTATTGAACTTGCTCTCAATTTTAATCCAGAGAAATTTCCACTAAATGGGCTAACTTATATTACAAATAGACAACTAGATGGGAAAAAATGGAATTCACTCTTTCCTATATATAAGGGTAGCAAATTTGTAAATTTTCCCAATGGAATGAAATGTGGTCCTTACTATTCAAAATAAGCTAAAGTGAGATCGGATGTTCAAAATTTGTCATATCATATGATTGTTTCAAGCAGATGTGTGAAGTGGTTAAAGGAGAGCGTCAATTTGGCTTCCGGGTACCACACAGCCTGGCATTTAAAAGTATGGGGGAAAATATATGTGAGAGTTTCAAAAGAATTTAAAAGTATGGCCTGTTATACATATATGTATCATTTCATTCAAGAATGTGTTAATTTTTAAGCTACACAAAAATATAAATTTTTGGCCTACAAAAAAAAAAACTCTGTTTTGATGCGCATATTTGACCTTTTTGTGTGTACACCATAGTTGAAAAGATGTATCTATGAAAATATGCATTGTACATGCTACACATCTATATGTACATGTGTAAAAAAAATCAGAGCTTTCTAAGGTTTCAAAGTGTTGTTTTTGCTTCTTTTTTAAAAGGAAAGGACTCAGGGTAACTTTTGTTCTGTTTTGATTTTTCAGTGGTTGAAGCCATTATTTTCATCCTTGAAGTACAACCACCATGCAATTAGCATGTGAATTCAGTGGTTGGCTAGCATGAAATTAGCATATAGAGATTAGGAGAAATAAAGGCGAGAAGTCTTGACGGAGACTTGAAGTGAAAACGAAGTGATTTTAAGCTTCAAAAAAGAGTCCTATTCAGAAAAAATAGGACACATGCTTGTACCCCTTTTATGCCAACTCCTTACTTAATTTCCAAAATATCAAGCTAAAGGGGTGAACATGAAAAATATATTTAAAATGATTATCTGCCTTTACTTACTTTTCACTTCTTTTGTTGCTTCGCTTTATGTTTTCTCTTTCCATATTTCCGCCATGCCAAATACCGTGTACTTAGCTTCACGGCGCGCTACACAGATTCTAGCCACATTACGGGAAGAATTATTTTGTTGACTAAGTTTAATTTCCACCAGTGTCATTTGAATGCCTATGGATATGAGAAACAGTGGGTGGGAAGTGAGGTCAAAATTATAAATTGCTGCACATTAAGAGGAAACTAGGGACACTGCCATTCTCTTTCACAGTTCACTCTAGGTGAAGTGTTAGTGTTAAGTACAACTGCCTCCACAATTCCCTTTATTCAGCAGAATCATGGACAATCCACACACAACATGTTGATGAGAAATGATTGGTGCTTGATTGGCCTGTTAAACAGAGCCTTAAAGAAAAGAGAAAAAAAAGAAGAAGTTGTTGCTCAATAGTCAGAGGTTGGATGGCTTGCTTTGCTTGTGTATTAAAAACAGGCAGCTACATACGGCTGTTGCCTTTCCTGTAAGTTGCAGCCATGCCACTACTTTATGTGTGCTTGCAGCTGCTTGCTTGCTGCTGGTGGTGTGTACTGGTAGCAGTAGGCAGCAGCAGCAGTAGTAGCCTAGTAGTGGAGATGGTGTAAGCAACTGCTCCACACTCCCCCCAAAGATCTCTCTCTCTCCCTCTCTAACTAACCACCCTCCCTCTCTAACTAACCTACCTCTCTCTCTCTCTCTCTTCCCTGAAATGGAATTTTGGCATGATCTCATTGATGGAGGCCTTGATGATCACAAGATAGATTCTCATCATAATATTATTTTTTCTTGGGTATGAACTTTCTTTTATGTATATTTGAGGGTAGCTGCTAGCTAGAGTGGCTGGTATGTATGTATGTAGTGGACATGTCTACCACCTTCCATGATGTCAATTGTCATGGACAGTTTGGCAGCAGCAGCATGATGCATGATTCGTGCCCAAACAAATCAGGAAGAGATATGTGCATCCACACAAGTCTTTGTGCCCATTCAAGCAGGAGGGAGCTACTAGCAGCTGCTTCTACGCCACCTCCTTTGTTGTTCAGCTGCGTCAAACAAAATCCCAATGGCCAACTCATCTGCCCTGCAATTTGCTCATGATTATTGTTTATCTCACATCACCTTCTCCTCCTTGCTTGCCATGCACTCCCAGCTCCGTCATCGCGGCCGCGAAGATAAGTCCGCGGTGATACAACATGCTCATATCCAGTAATTGATCAGTATATAAACACCATAAGACAAGTGTCAAAGATTACATGGTTTTATTTTCTTCTTTGAACTTCACAAAATTAGGACTATCTTGTAGTTGATGCTAAACATTGACCCTAACAATTAACTTTTCAACCATCTTGCTGGAGCAGCAGTAGATGTGGACACATTTTTAAGATATTTAAAAAGCCATTGCCGTCCGTTGACTTGTGCAGGTGATGGGGGCATTAGTATATAAAATATAAGCAATCAGGCCGACAGCAAGAACTTGTCATAATGAGATCATCAGGACTGGCTCTGCACTTAGCTCCACACTTTGGGTTGGGTGGGGTGCTGTTTTGACTTGGGCAATGCAATGTGTTGTGCATTGGCACTAGCACCACTCCCATGTTCGCCTCCATGATTGGATTACATCCTAGCTGGACTAATCAGCCATGATTAGTGGGATCAGAAGCTCATAACGCGTGTCGCCGTACCACGGACCCTTGTTTAGAGTTCATGAAACCTTTGCACAGATCATATTATCGCGCGCAGATCATATTATCGCATCCCATCGCAACTGTCGGCTACAATCTCCTTTTAGAAAAAATGAGACCAACCTAAGAGCTAACCCTTGTTGGCTTTTCTTTATAGGAGAAACTCCGTGAGCACCGTGCGTCCATGCCGGGACTCGAACTCGGGTGGGCTGACAGCAACCTACAATCTCCTTTTGGGTTTACCATTATTTAACATAACACCACACGTTGCGGGACGTAACTATCTCAAGGGCGATATTATCCAAAACATCTAGTATAGCACTAACAGAACACAATTCCGAAACATTATATCTACATTACATGACCCCGCCCCTATCTTTTGGCTAGAATTTCCATTTGGTTTCATCCTTATTCAAAAAAAAAAAAATCACGTTGCAAGATGTAACTATCTGAGGGGGAATATTATCCGAAACATTATATCACAAACGGAACACAATTCTGAAATGCAACTTATGAGGAACCACATGACATTACACCCCCACCCGTAACTCGCTCGACATAAACCCAAGTCACTCAAAATGTATCCATTAATTTGCACAACATTCCTATATTGTTTG